GACTGGGAACCCCTCTGTGTGCCCACATATACTTGTATCTATTAAACGATTAGCCTAATTATCTTCTTCATTGCACATTTTGAAGCTCTTTTACTATTGATATATCAAAACCTCCATGAAATGTACAGTTGCCTATAAACATCTTGTAGCCTGGTGGGCACTGACCCGGGGATGCAGTTCATCAGAGTAAGCGAGACCCCTGTGAAGGTGGCCCGGGCGGCGTGCCGGGCCTGGGCACGCACGAGGACGTAGCTCCTGGCCGTCTGACCGCCTCGCTGTCCTCCGCAGGTCACCAGGAGAACAACAACTTCTGCTCGGTGAACATCAACATCGGCCCGGGCGACTGTGAGTGGTTTGCGGTGCACGAAAGCTACTGGGAGGCCATCAGCGACTTCTGCGAGAAGTGAGTCCTCCAGCCGGCCACCCCGCCCCCGCGCCCAGGAGGTCACAAAACCCGACCGGGCGCTCGGTCCAGACACCTGCCACCCTCTGTGTAAAGACGTGTGTCCTGCGTCCTAGTTTCACTCTCGATGCTGAGGGTGGGCACTAGCATAGCTTTGTCAGTGGCCTGTCTGGATTTTAAAATCTTCAAGTCAAGTCCACCTCATTGTCTCCTCACTTTCTTTGCACCAGGAGGAATCGACGTCTTTTATCCCAACCTGCCAACTTGAGCACTCAATTAGCCCAATTATCTTCCTAGTTGCTCATTTTTTAAGCTCTTATACTATTAAAACATCTTAAACCCTCCATGAATGGTACAGTTGCCTGTAAACACCTCGTATCCTGGTGGGCACTGATCCAGGTATGCAGTTCATTAGGTTAAACAAGGCACCAGGCCCTCATGTAACTGGGTTTAAGACAGACCTGCTTCAGACCTCTCGGCATGGGACGTCCCTTCAGGCCTGTTAAAACACATTGTCACGCATTTTTGCATTGGTTCCAGAGCAGCAGGGTCCAGAACTTTCCATAATCGCTTCACAATATTGTCATTTAGGCCTTGCAGGTACACTGTGCAATTTAAACTCCCTTCATTTCAATTCAGAGGCAGGCACATGTGCAGAAATCTTTTCCATGGCACCTCCTTCTAGATCAGGCCCTCCAGTCCTGCCTGTGGGCTCAGCCTGTGGCAGTGGTAGTGCTGAGTAACAGCCAAGCAGCCCTGTGGTCCATCCGATGGGACTGACTCCTGTCTCCCTCCTCCCCTCAGGCACGGGGTGGACTACTTGACGGGTTCGTGGTGGCCGGTCTTAGAGGACCTGTACCAGGCCAACATCCCGGTGTACAGGTTCATCCAGCGGCCCGGTGACCTGGTGTGGATCAACGCTGGGACGGTGCACTGGGTGCAGGCGGTGGGCTGGTGCAACAACATCGCTTGGAACGTGGGACCGCTCAATGGTGAGTCTGCCTTTGTGTTTTCACTCACTACAGAGCCTGTGATTCCTCAATCCTCAGCGCTGAGCAGGGAACCAGCTTCTCACCACAGGGCCTGTGATTCCTCAATCCTCTGCGCTGAGCAGGGAACCAGTTTCTCACCACAGAGCCTGTGGGAACCAGTTTCTCACCACAGGGCCTGTGATTCCTCAGGCCTCTGCGCTGAGCAGGGAACCGGTTTCTGTTTCCAGTGACAGAGTCCCATTTCTCCCAGCGTGTTACTTAATGTTGCTGCAACTAAGCACTCTGTACTGCTCTGCTTACGAGTTAATAATGGTCTGATTTTTATTTGTAATATACAAATTTACAACAACAAGCGCTATCTACCAAACTTCAGAACAGGGCGTGGAGAAGGACAACAGTTCAGGAGGGTTCTCTGGTGAAGTCTCTTGTTGCTCACTGCAGTTGTGCCCCTGTCCTTCCAGCCTATCAGTACCAGCTGGCCCTGGAGCGCTACGAGTGGAACGAGGTCAAGAAAGTCAAGTCCATCGTCCCCATGATCCACGTGTCCTGGAACATCGCGCGCACTGTCAAGGTGACTGACCCGGACATCTACAAGATGATCAAGTAAGTAAGGGTGGCTGTCAGGGGTGTTTTGAAAC